GGCCACAACAGGACCCCCAAAAGGTTTGGAGACGCTAAGCTCGTAACACCAGGGTTCCCCAGAGCGAGCGGGGACGTACACAACTTTTAACACCAGGGCTCCCCAGAGCGAGCGGTGACGTAAAGCTCTGAGCACCAAGGCTCCCAACAGCCCGTAGTGGCATGACAAGCTCTTCACACGAAGGCTCCCCAGAGCGAACTGTGACGGTACAAGCTCTAAGCACCAAGGCTCCCAAGAGCGAGGTGTGCCGTCAAAAAGTCTGAACACCAAGGCTCCCAAGAGTCCATACTGACGTGACAAGCTCTTAACACCAGAGCTCCCAAGAGGGAGCGGTGACGTTACAAGCTCTGAACGCCAATGCTCCCAAGAACCCACATTGACGTGACAAGCCCTTAACACCAAGGCTCCCCCTGAGCCAGTCCCCCCTATCGTTGCCCCTCATTTACCAGAGGCGGAGAGGATGGGAGGGGAATGGAGGAGCGGACGACCCGAGAAACGACACAAACGAGGCTTTCCGCTGTCCGCGCGGACTTCCTCGGGGAGGAGGGGGAGGCAGAGGAGGAGGAGGAGGAGGAGGAGGAGGAGGCGGAGGAGGAGGAGGAAGTGGAGGAGGTGGAGGTAGATGAGGAGGAGCAGGAGCCGGAGGAGGACGAGGAGGAGGAGGACGGAGGAGGAGAGGAGGAGGAGGAGGAGAGGAGGAGGAGGAGGAGGAGGAGGAGGAGGAGGGAGGAGGAGGAGGGAGGAGGAGGAGGAGGAGGAGGAGGAGGAGGAGGAGGAGGAGGAGGAGGAATGGGGGGACGGGGAGGAGGGAAAGGAGAAGGAGAATGAGGAGGAGAGGTGAGGAGGAGGAGGAAGAGGAGGAGAGGGGGGAGAAGGATGCAACATAGTATAACAACAAGCACAATCCGCGGATTATTCGCATCACTCGTAATATCATGATGTTATTCTGTTTTTACATATAATTAGTCTTCGTAGAACTACTAATCATAGTGATACCCAAACTATGAACCATACTTACAATCATCATCATAGTCATACCAAGGATTTTAGTAATACGTAGAAGAATTGCACAGTAATGGAAGAAAACGGTACTAATAACATGATGATGTTGAGGCGGAGGAGGAGAAGAAGGAGGAGGAGGAGAAGGAGGAGGAGGAGGGGGAGGAGGAGGAGGAGGAGGAGGAGGAGGAGGAGGAGGAGTTAGGGGGGGGGGGTGCACCAGGCCGCCGCGCCCGGGTCGCAGCTGGCCGACGGTGGGGCACCTGGCGCTGACGGCGGGGCACCCGGCAGGAGCGGCGCGGCCGCGACCCCGTCCAGGGCAGCGGGGGGCGAGGAGGGAGGAGGCCCAGACATGCTCGCGGCGTGTTGTTGTTGCTGCTGCTGTTGTTGTTGTTGTTGTGGTTGTTGTTGTTGTTGCTGTTGTTCTTGTTGTTGTTGTTGTTGAACATTATTAATTCTAAAGAATAATTATTGTTGGGACCCCTGGTGCACGGCCCCCCCGCCGCGCCTAGGCCGCAGCTACATTTTCATCATTTTTTCGCGAAAGCTTCAGAAAAGTGGATGGGGTCCAGATCCGGTTGTTTTGTTGTAATCCGTTTTCCCTTGCAAAAAACACTATAAAATGACATTTCTTGTTCTAATATAATCAAATTTCAAGAATCCCTTGCAAAAAATAAGGTAAAGTGGACATTCGCGCGCGCAAGACGAAATCCTTCCAAAAGCTTAGTGTTCGGAGCGATTTTAACATAAAAACATCAAAAAACCAATGGTTTTTCAACAAAAAAATGTCAAAATCTCATCCCGCGCGCTCTTGCGGATTCGTAGGAAACCCAACACTTTTTAAACATTTCTGTCAAACGGGCTTTTGCGAGCAACTTTTTCGAACTTCTGCGACAACGGTTGCGCACCTGCCAGGGCCATCATCCCTGTCAAATAATACCATGCGGGACACATTCGTTTTTTCTTCGCGCGCGCACGCCGAAATCTCCAAAAACCATTGGGTTCTTAAGAATTTGCCCTAAAGATGTGATCAACTATCTTGTGAGTACGTATCATGTGTATCATGTGTATCATGTACCATATGCATCATATGCAACAGATGTTCTGTGGAAGGCTTAACAACTTCTGTGGGTTAACAAGGCTTAACAACTTCTGTGGGTGTACGAACGTAGGCTTAACAACTTCTGTGGGTGTGTACTCCACGCCAGTGTAGTAGCCACAGTCGTCCGCAGGCCACGAAGTGAAGTGTCCGAACGTCATAGGGCGGGAAGCTGGGTGTGGGTGGTGGCGAAGAGTCGTGTGGATATTTGGTAGAGCTTGCACTGCCCCCCCACAAAGTGGGGGTATTGGCTGGCGTCGCATGAAAACCCTGGCACTGGTGAGAACACTGAGCGTTCGGGTAAAGTGTTTGTTGTTGTTGTTGTTGTTGCTGCTGTTGTTGTTGTTGCTGTTGTTGTTGTTGTTGTTGTCGTTGTTGTTGTTGTTGCTGTTGTTGAATTCTCATTTCTGAAGAATAATTATTGTTGATTCCCCCCACCGGTGCATTCTGTTTTTTCTCTATCAAAGTGTGCCCCTCGACGCTCGCACCCTGTCTTTTGACAGGGAAAGTCTTCCTGCTCAAACTGGGCCCCTAGCCCCGGGTTGCAACGACAACAACGGCTCCCGCTTGAGACTTCCTCACAATTTAGCCAGGACCCCTGCTCCCGCCCGAGACTTCCTCGCATTTTATTCAGGAATCGCGCTCTCGCTTGGGAGTTCCTTACAATTTATTCAGGAATCGTTCTCCCGGAGCTCTGGAGTCGCGCTCTCGCTGGAGACTTGCTTGCAATTTACTGAAGAATAGCGTTGGATTTTTTTGCAATTTGCCCAAGCGCCGCGCTCCCGACACCCAGGCACCCAGGAGTCGCGCCCGTTGTGGCCCCATGTGCATGCCCTTCGTGGCCCCGCTGTCGCCAATTGTGTCCCCCTCATTGTCCTACGTGGCCGAGTTGCTACTCTCAGTGGCCCCATAATTGCCTTCTATGGCCCCGCATTATCTGCACTTCGTGGCCCCCGCTCGTTCGCACTCTTCGTGGACCCATACGCATTCCCTTCGTGTCCCCGCTGTCGCCCTTCGTGGCCTACTTCGTGCCCTTCGTGGCCCTGCTGTCGTTCTCTCTCGCTCTCGCTTTCGCTCGTCGTCGCCGTCGTCGCCGTCGTCTTCGACGTCGTCGTCGTCTTTGTCGTCGTCGTCTTTGTCGTCGTCGTCGTCGTCGTCGTCGTCGTCGTCGTCGTCGTCGTCGTCGTCGTCGTCGTCGTGGTCGGTCCCCTGCCCTTCCCTCTTGGGGTCGGGTCGACGGTCCGCGGCCGCCCCGCCGATCAGCGCTGCCGCTGGCCAGGCCGACGGTCCGCGGCCGCCCCGCCGCTTGCCGGGGCCCGGCCTGCAGGGAAGAAAGGCCCAGTCGTGCCAGAACACCGTTCCGGGGAGTCCGACACCGCGAGTCAACGTGACGGTTGCGTCTTGGCAGTCCTAAATCGTGTTCTTGGGATTTTCATCACATGAATGCTTTGAATTGTTGCAAGCTTTGAGGGTGAGTGTGACGGCGCTCAAGCGAGATCTTGAACAGGAACCGGTCTCCATCTTTGAAGCTGCTTCAAACTTGTAAGGCGAATGTGCGCGGCGCTAAGGCGAGAGCCACATTGTGAAAACAGGGAGAACGGGCCACCTTCCATCTCTGAGGCCTTTGCAAACTTTGGAGACGACTGTGCGCGTCGTTAAGGCGAGAGCCGCATTATGGAAACGGGCCGCCCTCAGTCCTTGAATGCGTTGCAAACTTCAAGCTTTACGATCATAATTGTGGAGGAAGACTCAGGCGAAATGCCCAGCCTGCCCTAACGACACGTCTGGGGGTGCGACAGGGAGAAGTTCTTCATAAGGAAAAGGGGTGGATGAGAAGGAGGAGGAGGAGGAGGAGGGCACAGAAGAGCAGGAGGAGGAGGATGCAGAGAGGGACAGCCCTTGGGGGGGGAGCGGGGAGGGCCGCGTTCGACGAACTCAGGCCATCAGGAAGCAGGCATCACGAGAGGGAGGACGAGGACGAGGACGAGGACGAGGAGGAGGAGGAGGAGGAGGCGGAGGAGGAGGAGGAGGAGGAGGAGGAGGAGGAGGTGGAGCAGAGGAGGAGGAGGAGGAGGAGGAGGAGGAGGTGGAGGCGGAGAGGAGGAGGAGGAGGATGAGGAGGGAGGATGAGTAGGAGGAGGAGGAGGAGGAGGAGGAGGAGGAGGAGGAGGAGGAGGAGGAGGAGGGGGAGGAGGACGGAGGAGGACGGAGGAGGACGGAGGAGGACGGAGGAGGACGGAGGAGGACGGATGAGGACGGAGGAGGACGGAGGGAGGGCGGAGGAGGGCGGAGGAGGATGGAGGAGGAGGAGGGGACGGAGGACGGAGGAGGACGGAGGAGGAGGAGGAGGAGGGATCGATCAACGTTCTCCCCGAGAGTTGATCCCCCGACCGGCGGCGGAGGCGAGGACGGGCGGGGCGGGGGAGGACGGCGGGAGCGGGCCGCCTGCCGCCCGAGGAGCGCCCCAGCACCGCCCGCGGCCGGCCGGCGCACGTCGGCCCCCGCCGCCGGGGTGTCCGCTGACGGCGAGGTCTCGGAGAGGCTCGGAGGGGGTGGATGCAGGAGGAGGAGGAGGAGGAGGAGGAGGAGGAGGAGGAGGAGGAGGAGGCGGAGGTGGAGGCGGAGGCGGAGGCGGAGGCGGAAGCGGAGGCGGAGGATGAGGGAGGAGGAGGAGGGAGGAGGAGGAGGAGGAGGAGGAGGAGGAGGCGGAGGGGAGGCGGAGGCGGAGGGGAGGAGGAGGAGGAGGAGGAGGAGGGAGGAGAAGGAGGAGGAGGAGGAGGAGAAGGAAGAGGAGGAGGAGGGGGTGGATGCAGGAGGAGGAGGAGGAGGAGGATGAGGAGGAGGAGGAGGATGAGGCGGAGGCGGGCGGAGGCGGAGGCGGAGGCGGAGGCGGAGGCGGAGG